CAGCTTATTATTATTATTATTTTTTTTTAGTAGAGTTGGAGTTTAACCGTTTTGGCCAGGCTGGTATCAGTCTGTTAGCCTCAAGTGATCCACCCACCTCAGCCTCCCAAAATGCTGATATTACAGGTGTGAGCCACTGTGCCTGGCCAGTAGTAACAAATTAATGAACATGGTGACTGTTTTGCTTATGAACAGTGGATAGAATTTTTTGACTCTATATATGATTACAGTTAACTTGAAGTTTCTAATGGCATGTTCTTTGCAAACGGAACAGGTTTTTATTAGTAATTATTTGCCTTTCCCCTGTAATGAAAATGATCACAATAAAATTTACTTTGTGTCATACTGAAATAGTACTCTTCTGCTGTTGACATTTATTTGGTTAAACCTTAGTATATCTCCACTGTATTTGAGATGATAATATTATTATACATTGCTAGAAGAGTTTCAGCCAGTCTAGACAGTTAAGGAGTGTGTCTTTCTTCCTTGACAAATATTATCTAAGAACTTCCTCGATTCGTAACAGCACACATAGAGATTTATGGCTTTAGCTGACCAAATGAATGTTGCTTCAGCCTGTGATTTGTGGTCTAGTGAACAACCGCAGAGCATGTCCTTAACAATTGATTGACCTTTTGCATAGCTTATTTTGGGACTTACCAAGAGCATCTTAAATTGGAAAACAACAACAACGACAACAACAAAAACTCCACGAATACTTATGTTTTATTGTTTGTTTGGGAAATGATCCTATTAAGAAAGTGGTGTCCTGTGCTAATTTCAGAAGAAGTTATTCTTCCTTAAAGACTTAATTTTCTAACTGTAGTTTGAGTCTTACTTACATCAACAGAAGACTTCAGCTGCTACCAAGAAATTGTCACACAAATTTCTAAATATATGAGCGTAGAAATTTACCAAATTTTAGCATGCTTTGGGTTCACAAATTTTGTCCCAAATCAGAGTTTCTCTCTGCATAAACAGCTGATACTGAGGTTATGGTGAGTTTTAAAAATAGAAATCCAGTAAGAGAAGACTATTAGTAGAGAAATGTTTTAAATTATTTGCTGTGGGAGGTGGAGGGCTGCCCTAGGAGTAGAGGACAGAGACATTCCAGATGCCGAAGGGTCTTGATGCATTCCATGTCATCCTGAGCATCAGAAAAAGCAAAGTTCTTATTCTAACAATGCATAGTGCTTTAGAACTTACTTCTATTTTAAATGTAAAAATAGCATATGTTCTTGGTAAAATAAAAATTTGCATTGTATAGAAGTTTGTAAGTTAAAAAAAAAAACCTTCCCTTCTGCTATCCAAAAGTAGCCATTGTTAAATTTTATTTATATTTCTGGCAATGTTTTTGTGTAGTACATCCATATTTTTCCCTACAGATGGGAAAGATGATACTCTGAAGCATTCTGTCCCCAAAAATATATTTGCTTGTTTTTTCTTTATTGTATGTGAGATAGGATCTTGCTATGTCACCCTGGCTGGTGAAGTGCTAGGCTCAAGCAATCCTCCCGCCTCAGCCTCCTGAGTAGCTAGGGCTACAGGCATGTGTCAACAAGCCTGGCTA